CAGGGTGTGTGCAGGGCAGGGTGTGTGCAGGGCAGGGTGTGTGGGTATGTGGCGTGTGCAGGGCATGGTGTGTGCAGGGCAGGGAGTATGCAAGGGCAGGGTGTGTGCAGGGCAGGGTGTGCGGGTATGTGGCGTGTGCAGGGCAGGGTGTGTGCAGGGCCGGGTGTGCGCAGTGCCGGGTGTGCGCAGGGCAGGGTGTGCGGGTATGTGGTGTGCATGGCATGGTGTGTGCAGGGCAGGGAGTGTGCAGGGCAGGGAGTGTGCAGGGCAGGGAGTGTGCAGGGCCGGATGTGCGCAGTGCCGGGTGTGTGCAGGGCAGGGTGTATGCAGGGCCGGGTGTGTGCAGGGCAGGGTGTGCGGGTATGTGGTGTGCAGGGCATGGTGTGTGCAGGGCAGGGTGTGTGCAGGGCAGGGAGTGTGCAGGGCAGGGTGTGTGCAGGGCAGGGTGTGTGCAGGGCAGGGTGTGCAGGTATGTGGTGTGTACAGGGCATGGTGTGTGCAGGGCAGGGTGTGTGCAGGGCAGGGTGTGTCCACCCGTGGGCCGTCCTGGGCTGTCCTCCTTCCTGCAGTAGACAGCACGTCTTTTATGAAACATCTGGTGGGTTCAAAGCACTGACCTTTCAGTTAGCACCAGTCCCTGATTGTCCGCACCAAGTCATTGTTGTTATGTTCCACTGAACCAGAACTGACCCGTGACTGACCATCCAGCGGGTTTTCGAAAGCAGTAAGTCACATGGGAGCAGCAGGTGGATTCGAACCTCCAGCCTTTCTGCTGGCAGTGCAGCTCCTCACCATCGAGCCGCCGCGCCCCCACCCCGTGCCTCACTAACTTGAATGCCACTCATCTGGCCTCATCAGCATCACAGTGCGAGGGTTTTCTAGCACACAGACTCATTACGTCCTCACAGAAGTGGGGTCAGTTAGATTCTGAATCATGGGAGGACAGTTACTGGACTATCGGAGAATGCTGGCTTGGTCAGCCTGGCACACACTATCCCCGATGCTCTTTTCATTGACATTTGGGTGCAGTTTACAGAGCTCACCGGTCCTCCAGTTGACCATAACTATTTGGTGTTAGGACATGGAGTCCAGTCCCCACATGGCATCATTTTGGGGGTTACAGTTTAACCCATGACAGGAGAGGGTGAAGGAACGTGCCTGCTGCCCTGGACCACAGTGTGGCGTTCTGGTCATTGTTGAGTGGGCATCTGTTGGCTGGCAGTGCACCCCCTGGGCTCTGCTCTGAAGCAAACACACGGAGTACGGTGGGCCTGGTGGGCACCTGGTGGGCAGCACAGACCTGCCGCGCTCCTGAAGGAGGCTCCTCATGGTCAGGCCCAGGACTCTCCGTTTGGAGATCCGAGGTCAATGTCCAGCATTTTGTGATCTGAGGGAACTATCTTGTGTGCTGTAAGCCCTGACCTCTGTGCTACGAGGCTCGCTGGACGTCCTCACCGTGTGTCCGGCTGTGCCTGACTGTGTCCACCTCCCCACAGGGTGCCCTGGGCCAAGTGCCGGCAGACTTACTTTTCCCGTGGGAAAAACAAGCAGTCTCTGGACGCTGTGGAGAAGGCTGCGTTCTTCGTCACGCTGGACGAAACTGAGCAAGGCTACACAAAGGAGGACCCCGTCACGTCCATGGACAACTACGCCAAGTCGCTGCTGCACGGCCAGTGTTTTGACAGGTGGGTCCTCATCTTGTCCACACGAAGGTGGGAATGTTCTGAGTGGGACTCGCCATCTCCGAGTTTCCCATACGAGCAGTCCGGTGCTTC